ACATACATGCACATACATATACATACATATACATACATATGCATACATATACATACATGTACATACATATGCATACATATACATACATATACACACATATACATACACATACACATACATACATGCATACATACATGCATACATACATGCATACATACATGCATACATACATGACTGTATGTATGTATGTGTCTACGGATGCATGCATGCATGCATATATGCATACATATGCATGTATGTATGTATGTATGTATGTATGTATGCATGCATGTATGTATGTATGTGTGTGTGCGTATGTGTGTATGTATGTACGTACGTACGTACAAGTAGGTATGTACATAGGTATGTATGTATGTACGTATGTATGTCATGTACGTTTGTATGTATGTATGTATGTATGTATGCATGCATGTGTGTATGTATGTATGTATGTATGTATGAATGAATGTATGTATGTATGTATGTAAATGTAAATGTAAATGTAAAGTATATGTATATGTATATGTATGTGCATATGTACATGTATGTATGTATGTATGTATGTATGTATGTGTGTGTGTGTGTCTGTATGTGGGTGGGTGGGTGGGTGGGTGGGTGGGTGGGTGGGTGGGGTGGGTGGGCGAGTGGGTGGGTTGGAGGCTCACATGTACAGTACATGTGTGTTTGTATCTATTTACTTATGTTTGCATGTATGCTAATGTGTAAGTAGGTACAGTAGGTGGGCACGTGGGACGTATGTGTGTATGTGTGCTCGTATGTACGCACATACGCATGTGCGTGTGTATGTATGCACAGGTGTATGTACAGATGCAACTACGACGGCGTATCTGTTTATGGGTGTACAAGCTGGCACCTTGCGCCTGCTAGCTTCCTACGAGGAAGGTTTAGAGTCTACTGTTCAGCGCCACGTCGTAATGAAAAAGATAGGTTCGCAATAAGAAGGATCCCCCCATCTAGCGTCTAAGTCCCGTATCTTCGAAACTCCAACATGACCCGCTGCCTCTCCGAGTTTGAAACACAATAAGACTGCCAAGGCCAGACCCCACTTCAACAAGGGCAAGAAGCTGGCTTTGTGCCTGGAGATGTAGCTGAATACTCCAGCATAAATCACGCCGAGACCCTATTATTTGCTTCCTCCGACAACATGGCTTTTTCGCCCCGAAACCCGGCTACACGCGAAATCGAGTGCCTGGGCCAAGGCCATGATGTGCAAAGCCTTGCCCATGCCTGGGTGCTGGGGCAATACGGTTTGGGGTTTAGGGTTTTTCGCTTGGGTGGAATGTGGCTGGTGGGGCTTACCTGCACGAGTTTCTGGATTTGGGGTTCCTACATATTAGAAAGCGCATCAAAAGCAATTTTGTTGTGTTGCGGCCGAACCGAAAAGCCTGGTTGGTTTCCTGTGCCTTTGCAGCATCTGCTGGTCTTAAGTAGCAAGGACTGCCTTCCATGTCATCCCTGCCCTGATGAGCGCCACGTCTACAAGGCAATCTTTCCCATGACTTGACAGACCCCGAAAAATATCTGCAAAAAAGGTCCCTGTGACTTCCTTGCTAGCCTGCCAAGACCAAATCCCAAGCGGCATGCCTTTTTTTTACACAGGCTTTCTTAGTCATGCCTACGCTCTAAGACGTAAGTTTCTCCATCTGTGCACTCAGACCCTCGCACCAAGCCCCACATCCTGAACAAGCCTACAGTTTTAAGCCGTGTTGCCCTTCTTGTCCGCTGCTTCCTGTCACAAACAGTCTTGGCAAACATATCTCTTCTTATTCATTCGTAGCAGCAAGAACTGCAAGATAAGAAACGGCTCGTGGAGCATTCACAGTGGCAGCGGCTAACATGGTGGCGAATGTGCTCAGAGCCGCAGCAGTCGTCGTCGTCGTCGT